GAATCAAAAAGTATGTTAGATCCGATTTTTTCCACTAGTTCCGGCATGAAGAATACCGTCACTAGAGCGACCATTCTCTTGAATCCATGGAAGAACTCGGTAACTACAATAAATTTTCATTAAGGTTACTGGTTGTATTGCTCTTGAAATATCCGGACAGATACGATCCGTGAAAATTTCGACATTGGGAATTCAGGACTATTTTTATAATTAGAATGTAAGCTCTAGTACAAGTTTTAAAAGCTCCAGAATAATGTAATAATTTTGCACAAAACAATAGTCGAGTTTTCTACGGAATGTTCCTTGCAATTTTATTTTTATTCATAATTTTGTTTGATTTCATGCAGCTAGTATGAATAAGCTATTTTCAGCGAATTGAGGTCATTTTATTCCTCTTCAATTTTATAATGACAATTGGATAGATCCCCTCGAGTCCTTATCATCCACTAATGTTATCGATTTAAACTCGCATTTGACCTGATTTTACAGGTAAGAAAAGAATGCTGTAAATTTGTGAACATACTTGACAATCGCATTGATAGGCCAGATGTTAATGATAAAGCGATAGGCCAGATGTTAATGATAAAGTGATAGGCCATTGATTAGAGCTATTTATGATGTACGTTGCCGAGTTGAAGAGACTACTCGTCAAAAGTAATAATGCAATGTAAAACAGATAAAATTTCTCTCCCTGTGTTCCGACTAGAAATAAAAATATGTAAGGCTGACTTGACGACAGAGCAGGGCCGACTGCCATAGAAGTACGACTGCCTGATATCAGTTATGGTTAACCAGGTACGAATATGGGCCACATATCCCCATATTCTATGTACTCGATCCTGATTTATGTCAAATAAGGCTGTAGGTTTACTCTTTGCAGATCAGGTCCTGATCTATTGAAATTAAGGCTCGAGCTGGTCCGGTAGATTTCAAATCCACTTTACCAGGCTCTTTTCTACTGAGAATATGCCTTATCTAGTGTATCTCCGTAGGTTCTTTTAAAGTCAAACTATGGATAGCCAAATGATATATACGGTCAGTTTTTAATATTTTCAAAAATTTAATAATAACTCTCCATTTTTCTTGTTTTTTCAAATGTTTGTAAAATTTTCAGCATTTTTTTATTTATAAAATTTCTGAAATCTGGCAACTTTATGCAGAACTGATGTGCTCTTTAACTATTCTTCTTGTTGGGTACTTATGATTTCAACAAACATGTTCAACAGATCTAGAGGTACTCACCACATTTTGAGAAATCAGCATCTGGGTAATTAAACGAATCCATCTCCGTTCCAAGAGCAACACTCGCTATAAGATCAGTGGCAAATTTATAATTGAGTTCCTGTGCATCAACAATTTTGCTTTCATCCCCTTCAATTTTTTGATCTTTCAGATAATCCATCATATTTTTTCCAATGTCGGTCATAAGTGGAAACATTTGTTTCAATTTTCCCGGTGTCAAGGTAGGTGTTATTTTAGCTCTGAGATACTTCCATGCTGGATTCTTCACTCCGAATAGATTCCTCATACCAATGCTATCTTTCTGTGAACGTCCTGCGAAATGTCGATCTGAAAAATTCTCAAAATCTTTGATGAGAATTTGTTTTATGATGGCAGGATCCCTCAAAAGAATGCAGGGTTTATGAAATATGTAAAATCCAACGAGGGGTGCGCCTTTCCTTGCAGCCCGATAGATGTTTCCCAGATGCCACCCTGGCCCCGTTCGAAATAAGACGGCATCTTTGAAATCACCAAAAATCAAATCGCTATTCGGTATTTGTTCCACACCCTTACGCTTCCAATAATTCAATTTGTACTTTGCATAAATCCAGAGTGAGATAAATAACAGGAATAAAGTTATCAACGTAACGTTAATAGTATTCGGGACACTAGCACTGGTAGTCGGATCCATAATTGCAAGAATGCTTGATGTGGAGCCACTTAAATACTGTTATCAACCGTGCCACTTTTCCTCTTTGCGAGAGTGGGGACAGCTCACCGCTGGAATTGCCAATTATACAAAATGAGTAATTCAAAATCATAATGAGTTATTTATTGGTTCTGTTATCAACCTCCAGGCTAAGATGGGGCACAGGACCACTTAATAGTGCGTGATTGTTTCCGCATTTGGGATGATTGTGATGAAAAGCAAATTGATTCAAGAAAATAATCTTGGGCACATCAAGCACTAATTTTCATCAACTGCAGTTCATGAATATCAACGTGCACTTGTATGTATTCTGATCTCATGATGATATCATGATGATGATAATAATATTAAAGATTATGGTATAGTTTCTTCAGGCATGTTTGTAAATATGAATAGATTCTTTTCCAGTTAGCTAGTTGACGTAATTTTATTTTATCATCAATTTTTACTAATCACTTACTGAATTCCCGAAGGCCTGCAGTATTCATTGAAAATCTTGGAAATTCCAATCACAGCGATTGATTCAGTGATTATGAACTGATATTATCAGGACAGTAGTGTTTCTATCAGTTTTTCGGGGAATTTTTCTCATTTATCTTGTTCTTCCGCGTTGAAAACAAGATTGTTCAA